ACGTAATTGTTACAAAAAACACTTATTCTTTTCTTCAACAATGGTAAGAAGTAAAACAAGTGTTACATATGAAAATTTTCAATGTATATTTAAAAAATGAATATTATAATTTGTAACCATATTTTTGTATCCAACTTAATCCTCCTACTGAAGATGATTGTGGACGATATTCTAAACCCACATACCCATCATATCCTTCTCTTTCTAGAATAGAAAGGACATATTTATAATCTATTTCTCCTGATGAGTCAGGTTCGTGTCTATTTGGTACTTGAGCAATTTGCACATGACCTATAAATTAAAGGAAATATAAATCTTCTACATTTTTATATATTTATGATAAAACATACCTATATATGGCAAAAGTTCTTTTATATTTTTTGTAATATTGCCACAAATATGTTGTAAATGAAATATATCAAGTTGTAGCTTTAAATTTGGACTATTTATCTTTTTCACTACATCTAAGCCTAAAGAGGAAATTTCATATTACTGAAATTAATAATTGCTTGCTTCATTAAAAATTGTTTATATTAAATGATTACCTTTCTGAAAACTGTTCATATAATAGTTTGGTACAGTGATATTATTAATAGGTTCTATAAGACCAATTATGTTTTCTTTTTTAAATTTCTCAACTGCATACGAAAGATTTCTTACATAAACATCATCATGATTACTCATAGCAGTTGCTTCTTTTATCTTGCCTGACATGATATGAATTCTGAAATGGTTATACAAAAGATTTACTTAAATATTAATGACTATTTGGTGAAGTTCGTTAGTATTTTTGATTAAAATAATCAAATTTTTATTACTGTTTGCAATTTAAAGCTTTTGCATATTCTATTGTTAGATCAATGCTTTTTTTAAAGTTATCTTCTTCTCCAGGTATTGCTGCAAATCCTAATTCTCCTTTTGATACATCACCTATTATAATAAAATGGAAACATTATATTCTTTACAATAACTTTTATAATGCTTTACATTATTTGTCATTAATAAATACCTGTAAATACGTTAATGAGAATTTGTTCAACACCTGCATTGTTTTTAGCTTCTGATACATCTTTAATTGAATGTCCAAAAGGAAATCCACTTTCTACTGCCTTAAAACCAGCTTCTTTTGCTAATTTATATCTTTCAGTAATAGCTGGGGCTTCCATAAACATAAAGGATATATTTGTAGCAAATTTCAGGTTCATACTGCTTATTTTTTCCTTACAAAATGTTAACTACTGATTGGTAAAGATGCCACTCACGACTTAATGCTTGTAATATTATATAACTGTTCTTATCTTTATGTGAAGAAATTAATATCACTAAAGTAAATATAGCCAAGGAAAACTTTTTAAATGATTATGCATATATACAGTGTAAATGTAATTAATTTTTACTTAAATATCACACGAGATTAGTTTGATTTTCTTAATATTTAATGCAAATGTATTCTTCTGTCTTATATTATTTTGTAGGAAAATTTATTGTTGGTTAATTGTAACAATTGGCAACTGCACTAATTGCAACTCTAATGTTGATAGTAAGACAATTTATAATACTTAATTCTTACATATTTAGTTTGTTTCACTTTTACGGTAAAATAAACACAGGAGCTCTACAATAATTAAAATTTTATTAAGTATATCAGTGTCAATACATTTATTAATGTGTGAGGGAAAATATAAAATCATACTTTAATTTCACTTGTTTGACATGAAGTTTAATGTACTGAAATCCAATATAATCTAACATTATAAGTTAAATATAAAAATTAATGAATAATTAAATGATTGTTGTATATTATCACTCGTCGTCGTCACGAACTCCACCGCTTGGTACTTTCGGTCCTCCTGCACGTTTTGCCATAATGATTTGATCAACTTTAAGTATGGTGCATGCTACACCGACGGCATATTTTAAGCCCCATTGTTTTGTTAAGAATAAGTCTAGGATTCCAGCTTCCACTGTGTCAATAAGAGCTGTCTTATTCTGTAAATAAACATTTTTTTAATACTTATCGTTTAAACATAAAGTTCAGCGAAAGATTTAAATCGATACCTACATCAATATCAAAGCCGTGATTCTTTTTGCCTTCTTTATGTGCAGCATAAAGTTTGGATACAAGTTCGGAAGCATAACTTCCGCTATTTTCTGCTAGAGTTTTGGGGAAAATTTCTAAAGCAGTTGCAAATCTACGCACTGCATACTGTTCTAAGCCTGGTAAAGTATCTGCATATGTACTGAGTTGAGCAGCAAGTTCAATTTCTGTAGCACCTGCTCCAGGAAGGAACCTTCCATCTCTTGTTATTCCTTTAAACGTGTTAACTCCATCGTCAATAGCACGTTCAATATCATCCATATAATTTTCTGTGGATCCCCTAACAATTATAGTGCTGACACGACTATCGGTACCATTTATCGCAAACTTCACTACTATAGTATCTCCAACTTCGTCAATATGTACTGAATCTGCATAACCCAATTCTTCTTTTGTTGGTGGTGTCTTAAAGTAAAATTGATCAATTAGGTATTTATCACATATAAATAAACTCATTACATCATACAATTTTTTACCAATTTTGGAAGTGCAGTAGCTCCAACAGTTTTGCATAATCTTCTAACATCAAATTTGCTAGGTATACGAACAGCCATTAAATTATATTTGTTTATATAATGTAAAGCCATATCACCAAACTTTCCTCCTGAAACAATCACAGTAGCTCCACTGTCAGCAATTGCTTTTATTTGAATCTCCAGTAAGGATTCTTCTCCTTTAGAAAATTTCATTAATTCAACTGCTGACTTTATTAATACTGTTCCCTTTGTCTCTGTTTGCATGATGTCTACAGCACAGGTATAAACAGCAATTTTGGGATTATCTTTTTTTGTAACATCTCCTTCAACTTGACGTTTAAATACCATTCCCTGTACAACTTCTGAGCTAGATATACCACTTCCAAGTATTTTACATACACGTACATTATCCACATTGAAAGTAGTATTTTCTGGTAAAATAGACACACAAGCTTTTGTAACAAGGGAAGTAATAGAATCTTCATTTCCATACTGTTTACTCATAATAGATGTTTTAATTCCTACTTGTATCTGTTTTTCATCACGAAAATCTTTTATTTCATAACAAACTAATGTTGGTAATATTTCCAAAGCTTTTTCCAAAGAAGCTTCATATCCTTCAACTATCTCAGCTGGAGTAATTCCCTGTTGTACAATATTTGTTTAATACATTTGCATTTGACAACATTAATAATTACAATATTTTTAAATTTTACCAAACGAAGTAGCCCCTCTGCAGCTTCAAGAAGTGCACCAGCCAGAATTATCACAAAATTAGTGCCATCACCAACTTCTGATTCTTGCATTATTGATGCTAGAACTATTAATTTAGCAGCTGGATGTTCAACTTCAAGTTCATTAATAATTGTTGCAGCATCATTGGTAACAAATAGTTTTTCTATATGATTAATTACCATTTTATTCATGCCATTTGGACCATAAGCAGTTCTCATAGTTTGTGCAAATTCTTTACATACTGTTATATTTCTATACACTGCTTCTTCTAAACCTAAAAAGTGCTGATTAAAAAGAAAACATATTAATTGCGAACATTGCAATCAATTACTTAACAATATTATAATTTTTCGTTAACTAAAATAAATTAAACAAAAAGTATTTGTTATTTAAAATATTAAAACGCTTAACAAAATAAAGTATATATTACAATACATTCTAATTTATTCTGTAAATTAATCACTTGGAAATTGCATATAATTATACGGATAACTTAGTTATAAACCGGTTACGAATAATACAAACAATAAAGAAATTTTTAATTTTCTATATTTCTCAAAACATTGCATTTTTAAGCGTGTTGCAAAAAATACATGTGTGAAAAGTATATATTATGCCTATAAAAGGCAATGTTTGGAGGAATATTTTCTCGTCTTCTTGATGAAGACATCATTTGCTCACAATGTGACAATATAGCCTAATAACATAAATATTCCTTAGAAAACTTTTTACACTTACAAGAGCTCCATCTTTAAGCATTTGGGCCATGCCCGGTGCTTTTGGTACGTGTAAAGCCATGATTTTTCTCAAAATTAGATCTTTTTGCTTCACGTGCAATTCACAATTAATACGCTACTTCAATTTCCCGTCAAAAATGATAAAGGATCGAGATCTTTCTTTCCGATTAGCTACTAAAGCGACATCTCTCTTTCACAATTATAATTTTACAATTACTAAAATCTTGCTAAATTAATATCCTTTAAAATGGGAAGATTTAATCAAATGTCCTTTAAACGAGTCTTTATGATTTATATAATCTCAGAGAAATTTATACGAAAATTTACACTACACAAGTGTCCTATTCACATTTGAAGAAATAAATTTTTACAAAAACCAGCCTTAAGGGATAGGCTCGTAGTGTAAACTTGATAAAATTTAGATGTACTCAGAAACAACTATAATAATTTATGGAGTATTTCGAAGCATAATATACTGACGGAAGTTATTATTAAAACTTGGTAAGTTATATTGAACGGTTTTAATATTTTTAAAAATCACAAGTAAATAATAAGAAACTCAAAGTGTTTTTTTGTTTTACAAGTATTTGATAGAAAATCCTGTTGCCTTCAACTGTTATGGATATGGTGATCACGAATTTACAACAGCAACGTCAAATCACGGAACAATTGCGTCGTGAAGCTGCATTAAATCGAATTATGGTTAGCAAAGCTGTGGAGGATATCATGAAGTATATTACAGAGCACGAACAAGAAGATTGTCTTTTGGTTGGTTTTTCATCACAAAAATCTAATCCCTTTCGTGAAAAAAGTGCCTGTACCATTCTTTAAGTTTGCATGTTTGAAATAAAAATAAGTCACTTCAATTTTTTCCCCTATGTAATCACTTTTTGATATTTTTAACTTATCACATTATTAGAACAAAATGTTAAATTTATTTTTACCATTAATATTTGGACATTCATTTAATCTACTGGTAAATTTAAGCCAGTATCATTTTGTCATTTTCATGCCTAAATAAGTATGTTCTGATATTTATTAAATGTAAACATTGAGATAAGTATTGTTTACATTTTCAAGGCTTATATTTGAAGAATCTTATATAAATTTGCTAATATTTTATTATTGTGACTTAAATTGTGACTTACTATTGGCCTATAAATATACAATGAAATATATACACACAAATGATTTTTAAAATCTATTATTATCTGAATTTATTATGAATATATTCTGTAATATGTTCATAAATATGAAATATTTTGTACAATGTTGACTTTGTAAAATGTTTAACAAGTTATAATATTTTTCAAATAACAACATGGAAGCATATTATTCAATGACTAAAATATATCTCAATCTATTTTTCATGGTATGTACATAATCAAAGTTAAGATTAAATATGTAAAGTGCTTCAACATGTCCAAATCTATGTACTTTTATATGATTTATATTGTCAGCTATATAAACTTATGTAAAAATATATTTATGAAATTTAACTTGTAATAAAATAAAAAAAATTTTAATGTAAGCTCTAGTTTTCATTATATTTCCAATATATATATATATTGCACAGATGTTTAATAAAATTAATCATTTTTTACGTATTAGCTATGGAATGTATTATGTACAGTAGCTATAATATGTGACTATTACAACACGTTAGAACCTACATTAAGTATTACTTTTATTTGTATATACTAGTTGTTTAGTATTTTCAGAAGTGATATTAAAAATATAATATTTGAAAATTATAATGTAACGACATTCTTAAAGGTACTTATATTTCAAACGTATACATATGTATATCAATTATAGAATGTTAAACCGGTGAAAGGAAAATTGTAAACATAACCTTAAATTTCATATTTACTGTACATGGATGATGAATGCAAATAATTCAACAAACAGGTGGAAAAGGTATTAATTTTATAAAAATTCAGGAAAATCAATTATTACCATATTAAACATGTAATAAATATAGCAATTTAATTATGTTTTTGCATATTACATTTTTCCAAATTTAATGAATATTTTATTTATAGATATTAAATATGTTTTCCATTAATTTGGTAACATTAGACAGTTATCAATCAACCCCATTACCAGAATTGGATGTTACATTTTCTAATTTTCGTGGGAATGAAATTAGACAAGTCCCAGTTATTAGAATATTTGGATCTACTCTTTCTGGTACATCGTAATTAACATATAACTTGTTAAATGTTTATTTAATAATTTTTTCTTTTTACATTCAGGAATAAAAACATGTTTGCATATACATGGAGTATTTCCATACATGTATGTACCATGTACAATAGATCATAATATTGATAGTTTTATGTACAAATTAGCAGCAGCAATAGATTCTGCAATAAATGTATCTTTGGGATCTGCAACCTCTAATAATCAACATGTTTATAAAATTCAAAAAGTTTCTGGAATGTAAGGAAATTATATAGATATATAATGCATTATATGAGTATATATGAATATATTTTATTGAATAAAATATTTCTTTCAGACCTCTTTATGGATATCATGAGAAGGAACATTTGTTTTTTAAAATTTACTTATATAATCCAGCAATGATTAAACGAGCAGCTGAGTTATTACAAGTATATAATATATGTATCTATAATTATTCAGTTTCTTTTAGGAAAACGATAAAATAATAGCAAACATTTTCTTTCAGAATGGTACAATACTAGGTCAAAGTTTACAACCTCATGAGGCACATATTCCTTTTATTTTGCAATTTATGATAGACTATAATCTGTATGGTATGAGTCCAATAACTTTAAAAAATATTAAATTTAGACAATGCATATATACAGAATCCAAAGAAAATGTGCAAACAGAGAGTCCATTAAATTTATTTGATTCACAAAAGTATCTTCCTGCATCTGTTGTTAGACAAAGTACCTGTAAATTAGAAGTAGATGCACAAGCATCTGAAATACTTAATAAACAAGAAATCCAAAATGGCTTGGACCTAAATCCTGGCATTGCAGCCATTTGGAATGAAGAAAATCATCGAAGAGAAGCAAAAGGTTTAGAAAATGTTGAGTCACAATTATTGTATACAAATACTAATGATAGAACATGTAGTCCAACAGAGAATGATATTTATCAAGAAACAAAATTGATAAAAAGATTAGCATCTCTTTCTCAGGTATATTGTTGGATCAATTTAAAAATTTCTGCTGTTTTAAATTGCTCTCATATAAAACACAACTCACATAATGATTATTCACTATTTATATTACTAATCCTCTAAGAAATTTCAATTAATTCTAATTCGTTTATGCATTTAGATCAGTGAAAATGTAACACCAGTAACATCAAAGACACTTACTTATCCTCTTGAAGTAGAAAATGAGGATAATTCATTTAGTGCTTCACATGTCTTAAACCATTTTAAACCATCACTATTAAATAAAGAAAGTAAGAATGAATTATTGCAACTTGATAAATCTATGTTAAAAGAAAGTTTACCTCAAAATGAAATCATAGACAGCAGTATTTGTAAGTAATAAATAAGTCTTTTTGAAGATTAGAAATCATTTTTTTTTTTATTCAAAATTTTATATATATTATTTATAGTTGACTCAGAAGATATGCATTTAGTGGAAATTCTGGCTGCTTTAGCAAAAGAAAATGAGGAAGAAATAATTGTAGATAATGATAGCATGCTGGGTTCTCAGTTTTCTACATTTAGTACTCAAATTAAAGAAGACAATGAAGATGATGAAATTGAAGATTTAAATATTACAAGTTTGGATTTGAATACTTTTAGTTCGTGGAATTCAGTTACTAATGCTGCTAGTCAATCAAGAATATCTGAAATTGAAAATAAAAAATCTGAAGATGATAAAGAAAAAAATTACACACTTGAACATAATGTTGAAGATTTTTCTTTAATAGATGTTCCTCAGTATGATGGTCCAAGTGATTTTATCTTAAAAAATGAAAAACAATTATCAAAATTTACTAGAAGTAAAATAGATAAGAAAAAGAAAACATGTAACAGATTAGAGTTATCTACTCTACATTTATTTAATGACAAAACTACAATATCAACTCTATTGCAATTTATAAACATTCAAATAAATGTTAATCTTTTGCAAAATATGTTAATAATGCCTCGATTAAATTTGAACGAAATACTAGATACTAAAAAGGAATTCATAAGGCAATCTATTATATTTGATGGTAAATTACCTAAATATTTTAAATTCTGTCCAAAACAAAATCATGTATTTAAGAGTAAACAAAAAAAATCAATGCATATAACTAAACAAGAGCTGTCACATTATAAGAATAAAAATATATATAAATTAGATCATCAAGATTTAGATGTTTATGATGTAGCTGAGGTTGAACATTCATTAACATTAAGTGATCATAAAAATTTAAGCTATTCAGTTACTGAAAACAGTACTAATCTAATTGGTTGTGCTAAGTCACATGTTACGATTAATAACGTTTTAAGCAAATTAAACGTACCATCATTTGATGGTAATACTGTTGATAGCTCTAGTGACTCTGAGTTGGATTCAGATATTTCGATTAACAGAGAAGAGAAACGGATTTGTATTTACAAGTCATGTACTAAATCTAAGAGTGAAGAAAATGTTGTTAATATTTCATTAAAAAAGCGAAAACTTGAATTTGAAGAATCTAATTTGCAATCTCCTCATAAACGACATAATACTAATGTAGTTTCTTTACAAGACAAATCACATCATACACCAACGAAAGTAAAAACCCCACAAAGTCCGCGTTGTTTATCAAAAAAATATTCTCCACTTAATGTAAAAATAATATCCCCAAAACCGGATAGAGATACTGAAAATAATGGATTTTGTAACTCAAAATCTACTTATGCTACTCCAAAACGGAACAGTCAACAATTGAGAATGAATTTATTTCGTGAAAAGATAAGTCAAGCTACAAATATTGATGAAACTTTTCTTCATAACAAGCACAGTGATAAGTAAATATAACAAATTTAATTATATTTCTTTTTTATCGAAACTTAATATTTAAAATTTAATCTTCAATGTTTATAGAACAAACACATGTAAGAAGTTTGTGGATTCAGGAAAAGAAGACTATGGAATGTTAGAAACGAATATTAAAACTCAAAAAGAAGTCCGTAAAAGATTAAATTTTGTAAATACTTATGCAGAAGAAATTAAGTCTGTAAATGATAGTACAGTTGAATGTCATTTTGAAAACCTATCTTTAACAGAGGAAACAATAAATGACTCATGCGAAAATAATGATTCTGCTAGCAATTCGATTCATTCTAAACATTGCATAAAAATATGCACAAGAAAAGATGATAAAATTAATTGCGAACTTAATTTACCGAGTACATCGAAAAATAATTTAGATCTGTATATGGACAGTGTTCTGAATAAGACACCACTAATAAGTGATAAAGATGTAAATACAGAAGAGGAAGACACATGTAATATGACATATACACAATACCTTAGTAAAAAATTAGAATCTGAATTAGGTACTCCAAATGTCGTATTATTACAAAATACAACTGATATTACCAAAAGAAAATTAATTACTATTACTACTAAATTTAATCCACCAAAGAGAGAAAGGATTAGAAATTCCATGCAGACATATGATATTTCACAATCAAAATTTATAGTACCATACTTCAGTAATAAAGTTGATCTGATAAAAGAAAGAGAAAATTCAAACAAAAACAATATCAATGATGTAGTTTATTTTAAATGTAGTTTAGATAGAGTTACTAGTATCAAACTTTGGCGTCGAGTAAAAATAAACGAATTTTATCCTTCTGGGTTAAGTATAAAATCTTGTAGCATAAAAAGAGTTTTAGCTGGATACAATGCATTGGTAATTCATCCTCTCATTCATCCACCAACACTGAGAAATATTAAAACATGGTTACAAGCCAAAAAATACTTATTACAAAAAGATAATAAACCTGAAAAAGCAAATGATAATATTGATATTGAGAGAGATGCAAAGAAAAGTGACGTATTTAATGAAACATCCATTGATAATCAATATATATTGCAACTTTCACAATGTTCCAACAATTCACAGTATTCAAACGGATCTAGTAGCAGTTTTAATCCTTCTTTAAGAAAAATGCTTGAAAATCCATTATTATATAAAAATAATGATACCCAGCAACATATAGGCATTTCATATGGACAAATTGAATATAGTCTAAAAGGACATAGTGGTAATGTTGAAAATGAAAATCTTCAAAATGCTAGGAGTTTAACTGTAGTAATTATTTTATTTTAAACTTTCATCTTATTTATGAAAAAATATTAATACATTTTTTAAATGTTGTATTTAAATTATTACAGGATCAATATCTAACATTATTGTCAGTAGAAGTACACGTTATTACGCGTGATAAATTTCTTCCTGATCCAAAACAAGATTCAATTGGAGCAATATTTTATGCTGTTTGCAATAATACTCCTTTATCTTCAAAAGTTGAACAAATAGAACATGGTATATATAAAAATTATTTCTTTTTTTTAAATATTTTGTCAATAATTATAAGTAACAGTAATTATAATGCTGTTTTAGGTGCTATTGTTGTAAATTCATTTATGCAAAATTCAAAAATGAAGAACATATATTCGACAAGTACAATATGTTCTATATCATATGTATCAAGTGAAAAGGACTTACTAAATAGCCTTGCAATATTAATTAGACATTGTGATCCAGATATTTTAGTTGGTTGGGAGATAGAATTTCTTTCATGGGGTTATATCTTTCATAGGGCTTCCCATATTGGTTTGAATAGTTTTACATGGCAAATTTCAAGAATTTCGAATGTTACTCCAACATTTAAAGGACAGACATCTGACAAAGATAATTTTAGTGATACAAAAATACCAGGTCGTATTATTCTTGATGTTTGGAGAATAATGCGACACGAAGTTGGTAAGTTTTATATTGTAAAAGTGTTCACAATATAATTTGTAACATTTTATGTATTCTTTGCAGCATTATTAAATTACACATTTGAAAATGTCATGTACAATGTTATGCGTGAAAGAATATCGTGCCCTATCTTTCAAGTTTTAACTGAGTGGTGGAATCATAAAAATATAACAATACAATGGAGAATTATTACCCATTATATGATAAGGGTAGTGGGTACATTGAGGATATTAGTACATTTTGATATTATTGGTTTGTAGCATCTATTACCTATTCCTGCTATTGTGTAATATAATGTTTTATGCATTACATCATATTTCAATAATATTTTAGGGCGAACATGTGAACATGCACGACTTTTTGGAATACAATTTTACGAAGTTTTCTCTAGAGGCTCTCAATTTCGAGTTGAGTCAATGATGTTGAGACTTGCAAAACCCTTAAATTATATTCCTATTTCACCATCTATACAACAAAGAGCAAAAATGCGTGCACCCGAAGTTCTACAACTTATTATGGAACCGCAATCTGTATTTTATACTGATCCATTAATTGTCCTTGATTTTCAAAGTTTATATCCAAGCATTATTATTGCTTATAACTATTGCTTTTCCACATGTTTAGGTCGTGTAGAACATATTGGCCAGTAAGTGTAGCATCAATACTTTTATATTTCTGATAAAAAGTACTGTGTATAAGTTCAGTTTTTTTTGTATTTTTTGTAGTTATGAACCATATGAGTTCGGTACAGCAACATTAAAAGTAAGAAAAAATACTGCTCAGAAATTATTGGGTAAAATAAATTTTGCACCTTGCGGTGTAGCTTTTGTAAAACCCGAAGTACGAATAGGAATATTGCCACGTCTGCTTACAGAAATTTTGAATACACGCTTAATGGTAAAGGAATCCATGAAACTTCATGGAAATGAAAATCATGCGTTACGACGTGTTCTTCATTCACAGCAACTTGGTCTCAAATTAATTGCAAATGTTACATATGGTTATACAGCTGCTAATTTTAGTGGTAGAATGCCTTGTATTGAAGTATGTTAAACATATACGCTTTAATTGGTTTAAAAGTTTTTAACAAAATTAATTTTAATTATTACTAATTAAGGTAGGAGATAGTGTTGTTAGTAAAGGAAGAGAAACTTTGGAACGAGCAATTAAAATAGTGGAATCTACACCTAAGTGGGGAGCTCAAGTTGTTTATGGAGATACAGATTCATTATTTATTCTTTTACGTGGAAAATCAAGGAAAGAAGCTTTTGAAATTGGAACTGAAATTGCTGATACTGTTACTGCAGCTAATCCTCCTCCTGTAAAGCTTAAATTTGAAAAAGTTTTGCAGCCAATACTTCTTTCTACATTTAGACGAAAAAGAGATACTGTGGTTATATGTATGAGTCTCCTGAGCAAGAGGAACCTGAATATTTAGCAAAGGGTATTGAAACTGTTCGTAGAGATGGTTGTCCAGCTGTAGCTAAGGTACATAAATTAATTAATATATTAATAATATCATTTACAAAGTAATGAATTAAAACATCAGATAATGATTTTTAATTTAAGATACTCGAAAAAACATTGAAAATTTTGTTTGATACTAAGGATATGTCCTTGTTAAAGCTGTATATCACTAGACAGTTTGATAAAATTTTACGCAAAAAAATATCAATTCAAGACTTAACATTTGCAAAAGAATTTCGTGGTTTGCATGGTTACAAAACTAGCGCCTGTGTACCTGCATTGGAATTAACACGAAGATTAATACGAAAAGATCCTCGGGCAATACCTCGTACTGGTGAACGAGTACGATATGTTATAGTAGCTGGTGCTCCAAATCAACCATTAATTCAATGTGTACGAACTCCAATGGAAGTGATTTTAGATGAAAGCCTAAATCCAAATTCAATATATTATATAACAAAAGTTATTATACCACCTCTTAATCGATGTTTAAATTTAATTGGCATTGATGTCAATACATGGTATGACAAAGATCAAATTTTATACTTTTATGTTATGTAAGCAATTTTTGTTTTTCTATATTTTTTTTAGGTATAGAGAAATGACTCACCGTCAAACGCCCGATAAAGTTGTTAATTTGTATACAGACAATCAAAAATTAACTATTCCACAATTTTTTAGTACTGTGATATGTGCTGCTTGTGCAGATCAAACACAAAAAGATATTTGTACGAATTGTATAGCAAAACCAAATCAAACAATTACTATTTTATATGAAAAAATAAGGTGGTTAGAACGCACTCATCATGAGCTTGTAATGGTAAATATAACATTTCTATACTTTATTTTGTCTGATTATGAATATAGAAATATAATTCACCTTTTCAGATATGCCAATCTTGTACTGGTTATTTAGATGAACCAAAATGTGAATCTTTAGATTGTCCAGTTTTATATCGTTTAATGCAAGCTCGCAGGGATCTGGTTCAAATACCTTATTTAAATGATATTATTCATAATAGTGATACTTTTTGTATGGAAAGAAGAAATATACGATAGAAATTTTTATTTTGATACTGTACAATGAATAATATTTAGTCTACATTCTCAACAGTATTTTCGTGCAATTTTCGAAAGTGTTTGCTCGAATTTCAGGATTTTTGCGTTCTTTTCAATTTTTATGCGTTCGTAACGCTATCCGAACTCAGCTTATTTAATTTTGTAATGGAATATTATTTAAAGAATGAGTGTTCCACAAAAGGAAATAGGTGTGGTGTGTAAGGGAGAAATGAATAGGCTGTAAAGTGTTGTAAAACAATACTTGTGTATTGTTCGTAACCTAGTATAACTGGTAACCTCTTGTAAAATACAGTTTGTACAGTTATCTTCCAATAAATAATTGATATTTTCATAAATAATTGCATTTCTTCATTTTTCCAGATGTTTAAGTCCTATTCTTGATTTCTGTGGTGGCCTACAAGTTCAATCTCAAATTTACACAAAAAGAACATTAATTTTTCAATTTTCAATAAATTTTCTAACTAATTTACCTCATGCAATTGTTAATTGAATGCAAAATTAACAAATTAAGCTGTTTTATTAAGTTAAATCATGCAACAAATTCATTTAATACTTCCAATAATTATAAACAACCATCTAAATTGTTATTTAACAAGAGAAACATTATTCTAGAATTAAAGTACTTGAAAATTAACCAGAAATTTTGTTTTACCATCTACATTATTAGTAATGTTAGAGCAATTAAAAATTGATTATAAGTATTAATTAAATATAATAGGGTAGACAAGGATGGCACTGTAGAAATGAGTTAGACAAGGAAAGAAATAGGGTTAGACAAGAATAGCACTAGAGAAATGAGTTAGACAAGGAAAGGAATAGTGTTAGACAAGGACAGAAACTTTTCAAAGCGAAACTAACGCCATCTCACGTTTAGTGATGTGAACTACGACTTTTTAATAGGAACACAGAATATAAAAAGAGGTATTAGACAAGGAAAGCACTAGTGTGTGAGAAGGATAGAGAGAGAACGTTTCCTATTGGTCTGCTAGCCGCCATGCTTCACCTCCCACGCGCTGTATCAAGTCGGTCAGGGAAAAATCATTAATAACTCATTAATTACTATGATTTTGTAAACTTTTAGAATTGAAGAATGAAGAGTGGACCTTCAGTAATTTTCACATATAGTTTTTAGTACACTAGACCCTTTCAATAATTAATTATTAACAATTTTACTGCATAATGTCGGAAACGATACCACATACCGTCAAGTACCTTTACGGTTTTTTAATAATTTCATAGCTTTCTACTAAATTCTCATGTAACTAACTGTATGCGTATGAAAGGCAATTCCCTTATCTATATTCTCATATAAGTTTTATTAACATATTCGGTTTAGTTTAGGAGTTATTAAACATTCTTTGGTAGCGTCTCCTATTCATCGTACTCGTGTACAGTCAACTGTTCTGAACAATTGCTAATATCAAATAAACCACATCAGTTACGGCTACCAAACTAATTGCAGAATATAAATAAAAGTCCATTCTACATTCTGCATGCTTAAAAGTGCACAATTAGTCTCGAATTTCTATTGGAGTAACGAAAATGTGTTACGTTTGAATGCGACGGGTGTAATACTCACCTAAATAATGTTGAATAACTATCGAACCACAAGGGATATATTAATAAAAATTACAGAAGAATATAGTCACAGGTATTCCTTTTCAGATATATATGCTAATTGTACAGGGAATTAATACTGAACAATGGTATTAATGAAAAACCGTAAGAGACTGTCGTATCGTTCCCGACATTTCGTACAACAATTATTAATAACTAATTATTGAAAGAATCTAGGGCCTTAAAATTTATATAGGAAAGTTTCTAGAGATTCATATTATATTCTTCAATTCTCAAAGTTCACAAAATCATCCTAATTATTGAGTTATTAATGATTTTTCCCTAACCGACTTGATTCAACGCGTAGCAGGTGAAACATGGCGGCCCGCTGGCCAATAGGAAACGTTTTCTCTTTATCCTTCTCGCACACTAGTGCTTTCCTTGTCTAATACCTCTGTTAACATTCTGTGTTCCTATTGAAAAGTTGTAGTTCGTGTAACCAAACGCGAGATAGCGTTAGTTTCACTCTGAAAATTTTCTATCCTTGTTTGTCCCCTATTACTTTCCTTGTCTAACTCATTTCTCTAGCACTATCCTTGTCTATCCGTATTCCTTTCCTTGTCTTACTTATTTCTGTACATATTGCTAAATACCTGGGCGAGTTATCTTTTGTGGTAAACACTACTGGTGGTATATCACCATCTTTCAATAAGAATTACACAAAAATTAATCACACAAATCAACTAGAGATTCAACATTAATCACTCAAATTTCCTATTACACATTGAAATAAAAAAGAAAAAGATAATAAAAATTATGAAATTTCAATAACTCAGAATCACAGACAAGATACAGGATAGACTTATATATATAGCACCTAATGCATTTTTTTGCATACGTCAAAAGGAGATATATATCCCTAGGACTGTGACAAAACTTGCGAGTCATACGTTAATGTGAGAGATCTGATAAACAGAAATAGCATAACTGTGTAACCACATAGGCTGCAAGTATTTCCGTTCAAACAACCGGGGAACGTTACATTCGTATTCAAATATTTATAAAAAATTCACTCTAGCTTATTTTCGAATCACTAGATGGCGCTACATATTCTACTCAATTTAGTTAGAACTGTATTGTACGTTCATATGTGATAGTTGATGCTTTTTCACGAAACAGAGTGTTATGCCGTATATTTTATTAAAACATACAATTAATAATTCGAATTAAACGTTTAGATTTAATTGTTAATTTTGAAAGATATATTGATTTTTGTCAACACATAAATTTTTAAATAAGAGTTTTCACATCGTGTAGATGAACTTTCTCCCGTGCAGCGTTATTTTGAAAATAAGCTATTTTGTGAATAAACAATAATCTGTAGAAGATTAAAAATTTGTTATTATTTTTTATATAATATTATCCATACAGAAGTATTATTAAAGTTACTATGAATGTAGTGTTTCGCCTATATTGTTATTCTTTAATACCATGACTTCTTATTGTGCCAAACGTTCTGATTATAAAATTGACATGTACATTGCATTGAAAGTACTTTTAAGTATGCATTTATAAAGGAAATTCATATAAATCTTCAAACTGTAAGATATATTTTATCAATATATGTATACATATGGCTGTGTACATATATATATATATATACACACATAATATGTATGTACACGCACACACATTACATATTCACTAGGAATTCACGCACGACGTTACGAAAAAAATTATTGAACTCGGACATATTATATTAATTGTATTTTATTTATATATATTACAATTGTTATTATTCATATTTACTTTGTCAGCAGTATTACATTTGCATAAATTTTTAAAAATATTGTAAATTATATTATTTTATGTATTTTTTTTTTATGAAAGAATTACTAAGTTTTGGTTTTTTCAATGTAGTGCATTTTAAATATGTTTGTTGAATGTTTTTTAGCAAACACTATGTCAAAGTGTAACAAGTTATCTGGAGATCAAATGTGCTGTTTCTGTGGACAGATAAAAAACGATGAATTTTATTTTGGAAAA